CTTAAGTATGCATTTAAATTTAAAGGTTAGGAGAGGCAAAGCAGCATGTCTATTACATGCTTTAGCGTGATACTGGGATATTACTCCCTATATGCCTCTATGTTGTCATTACAGACGTTGTCAGTAAAAATAGTGATTTTTTTCACGGCGGGGTGCGCCAGTGTGAAGATGAGGTGCACCCAGAAGCAGACATGGTGGAGCCAAAACTAAGTTTGAAAAATAAAGCGAGCCTTTATTTGGCTGAAGGAACGAATAAACAAACAAAACGACAAACAAGACTTGACTATGAACTAAACTATGACCTTGACGAGGAAAACATGGGGGTACGTGTGCAGACAACGTGAAGCTGGACACACTTAGACTGAGGACTTAAATACACACATGAGGTGAGGTGATTAGGGGAAGTGGAGACACATGAGGACACAGCAGACTAGGGGCAGTAAAACTAAATACAATGAGCAAAGAACACCAGACTCTTTCAAAATAAAACAAGAGCCATGGTAAGACGCAGACATGACATGAGCTTGACAACAAGAAAACACACGACAGACATGAAACATGACAGGTAGACACACTAAACAACAAGGGAAACCTACCACAGTCATAACTGAGAGTAGGACACTGAGGACGAGAACATGTAGTGAACAGGAACACATACATAACTCAGAATGCATAGAGTAACCTAAACTAAACCTATAACTCAAAGCAACCTGATAATACAAGACATACACCTCCCTACGATATCCCTAAGAACACAAATATAATAACCTCAAAATGCTGGGTCACAGACCCAGCCCGTGACAGATTTGTCAGTCGGGAACAAAACAGGTCTTATGTCCAGATCTTTGAAGTGAACAATGGAATACACACACACACACACGCACGCACACACACACGCACGCACACTTTTCAGAAACTGAAAATTTGATGACTCGCTTGGGAGCCAAATAAGCCGGCATTACTATCATTGTGACCTTCAGATCAATATATTAACCTCAAAGAAGAGGTCAGAGGACAAATGTAGGATGATGATATAGGGTATATATTTATACCCTATACGTTGACAATACACATCACACCTGTAAGAATCATAGTTTCTAAGTTATAAGGTTTTTTTTCTACATTTTTAACCAATAAATCATTTAGTCGACCTTGGTGGATGAAGGAAATTTTTAATAGATTAATTAATTATTTATTAATATGACTCCACTGTGCACCCTTACAACACAGAATTCATTACAACTTTTTGAGCTGTTGTGTTTGCAAACAAAATGATCGCAGGCTGCACTCATCCTAAAGCTAGAAGCACAAACATTGG